TATCAAGTATATCGTTTTATCTAAGATACATTTAAATGAGTTTTTGATTCGTCTATAGCAGGAACGATGGCCCAATTTAATAGACTATTGTGATCGATTTTTGAGTTTGTTTTAGGTTGTTTAGATCAACCAAAAAAATTAATTCTTAGGTTTTTTTTTATATATTCCTTGTAGTTTCTATAATAATTGAGAAAAATCGAAAAGAATTAATATAGAGAAAATGGACAAATTTAAAAGCAATAAAAGTTTCATTATTTTCAATTTGATTTTTCCATCAGAAATTTTGGTTTGAAATTCAGGTGTAGTATCTTTTCAGAAAGGCAATTTTGTGAAGTTAGTACATAATAAGAACCTTTGTAATTTTCTTAATAACCGAAGAAAGTCAGAAAGATGTAAGAAAACAGAAAAGTTTAAGAAAACAATGGTTCTCCATTATTTTATTCCATTATTTTGATTGGGTTTTTTGTTTTGATTCGGTCAAAAATACTCGTAAAGACATGAAATACTTATATTGACCTTTTCTAGACGTGTACTCATTTTCAAACAATTCTGACAATCTTTAAGATATATATATATCTTTAAGATAGGCAATTTATATTTTCGATTTTTTTTTTTTAATTTTATTTGGTTTTTTGTATGTGGATTCAATTGTTTAGCTGATCAGAAATGTTTGCAAATTGTATACGAAATCGATCATATTATTAACTAAATTAAACTTATTTGTTAAAAAAACAAGTTGAGTGAAATTCAGTAGTTTTTTAAAAAAGGTTTGAAATTTCATAAATCATAAAAAAAAACAAACGAGTACTTAACTTACTTGTCAACTTTGAAATTCTTTAAATTTGTTTTAAATAAAATAACTACACCGGGATGAAATATGCATTTTCTCAGGTTCGGTGTAAACGTTTTTGAGAATATTAATTATATGAATAATGGTTACAGACATAAAGAAAAAACACCACTTAGTGTCCTCGCTTCGTTCAGAATTTAAAAATAGATATATTTTTACAAATCTTTTTCACTGTATTAAAACATTAATTGAGTATTATATTTTATTTGTATTATAATTATTGTACAACAATAATCGTAGTACACTGATAAAGTGGATTATTCATTTAAATATACAAATAACAATAAGTAAAAAAGTTATTATTCAATAAATATTATACTTAAATATTTTCTACTACAGTTTATTAAGTGTAAATTATTATGTTCAATCAATGTAAATTTTTCGGTTTGATAAACCATGTTTTATTTTATTTATTTGAATAATAAAAAAAAAAAAAACTGATACTGGGGATAGGAGCGGCCACGATTGTACGTGAGAAGTTGGGAAGGTGGGATACATATGATTATTTCATTTATATCTGTAAACAATGATAAACCATTGTTCGACGAAAGACGATTCCGAGTGCAGTACGGTAATACATAATTTGAAGTGCTGTAATTTTTTTTTGAAATTTTCGTTTAATTTGATTTCAAAACGTTAATTAAAAAAAAATTTCGATAATTTTGGAAATATTACCACATTTAGGTAAGTCCAATATAAGTATTTTTACCAAATTTTAAGTCTCTACGTGTATTTATATCCGAATTACAGCAAAAAACTCCCAAAAATTAAAATTCCTCAGAAACTCAAAAGTGGCTCAAAAGTTTTTTCGATGATAACGTAAGAAATTAAATCAAAAAGGCAAAAAAAAGGTGTATTGTGATTTTTCGATTAAATCATTTTTTCTGGTAAAAAATTCCGTGTTTATATAAAATAATAAAATCGTTAAACTTTACGGTTTCCTACGTTTTTTCCCACTTATGTGCTTTTATTATAAAAATGACATCGGAAAAAAAATAACAAGACTCAGGTGGATTAGGCGTGTCATAGGGAGAAAGGAATCTGAAGCAGTAAAAATTGTAATACAAATGGACGTAGGAGGTGGTTATGTGAGAATATGAGAATAGCCAGTGTATGCGATATGAGAGATTGGATCAAATGAAAGTTTTAACAAGAATGATCGACGCCAAATAGTTGGATGTAGGCAATGTAAAAGAAGACGATATAATATATAAATAACGAATATACCTGATTGTAGGTATAAAATTAAAATAAATAATCTATACTTAAATTATTATGATTAACCGCAAACTTATCTATCAATTTTTCGAAATACAAATATTTGGCTGTCTTCTTTTTAATACTCAATATACTACTTATAGATACAACTGATAGACGTTTGAATTGAAGTAGGTTACGTATGGCTTTACGTAAATGCATTTTTAAGTCGTTTAGCCGTGTAGGTACCTACTACGTGAAACATAACGCATACGACGAGTACTAGAGATGGGAAAAATGACTCATTCGAGTGATTAGAATCATTTGAATCGATTACAAAATCGATTCAGTGTTATCAATGTTATGAATATAAATCTTGTTTGGTTAAATCGTTCAATGAATCGTTCATTTCAAAACGGACCGGAATTAAAGAATTGAGATAGGCAATTTATGATGATTTGTATAAGTCCGTTCTTCAATCACTTGTATGTGTGTGTGTAATAAACAAATGTTAGTGTGAGTTGCTACCTCGTAACACAGTCCGTCCGCCCGCATGATCATGGCACCGAGTTCACTGTCGCGCGTGTGAGGAAAATACAATTTACTCGGTCACACAAATATTATTTTATCGGTATTCGGTATTAATGTCGTAGCTTCGTACTACGCTATAGGTACCCGGTTATGAATCGTGGTGAATCATCATGATCCTGTAATGATTCAAATAAAAATAGAAATGAATTAAACGATTTTGAATGAATCGTTCCATCTCTAACGAATACCCGGTGTTTCATTTAAGTGGGTGCACTCATTATCTGGAAAAGTATTAACTTTTTCCGGAATTTGTTTGCTAGAATATTTAAGGACCAAGTTGCTCCACAATTTTATATTTATGTTATTTTTCGTCACTCTTATTTTTGGGGGTCAATTTTTGGTTGGAGAAGAGTGATGGTGCATTATTAACACGCCACGCATCGTACCGCCACACAAATGATACTCTACCACTCTCCTCCAACTCAAATTTCAAAGTGGAATATCTCATCAACGAATTGACGGAAATCAAAAATTTCTACGCTTAAATTTATTTTAACTAATGCTCAATTTATTTATGGACTTTTTAATATAGGTTGCCGTTCAAAAATCATAAATAGGTAGTGGTTTTACTTGTTTCTTAAATGTTCTTGAAAACAAATTCCGTAAAAAGTTAATAATTTCTGAGATAATGAGTGTATCCACTCAAATGAAGCACCTGGTATATGAATGATTTTTATTCCGATGTTTTAATTACGTCTAATACGATAAAATACAACAGTTTTAGTATCATGTTCGTAATTTGTATTCATTGCGTTTACAGAGAACACGGCGGTAAAAATAATAATTATTACCTGTGCAACAATAACAATTATGGTAGCAGAAGTTTTAAAGTATAATTCAACTTTTTTACTTCGACTTCATTACTTGAGCCTAGGGTATTTTATAAATATAATGGAGTGGTTGGTCTATTCCAGGCTAACCCTTAGCTATGTGCTTGATAGTTTGGTAGGACATAGGTATTGGGTAAGTTTGGTTAAAATTGACTACCAAAACAATTAATCTATTTTTATTATTTACGACTAAAATAATCATTCTAAATAATATGTAAAAACTTGATGTATTTTTATACAAGTAGGTACAACTAGGAGATATCAACATTTTTAATGACAAGATAAATGAGACTATTTTATAGACGACTTGGGTAAATGTTAAAATAATATTTGTAGATAATAAAGTTAAAAGATGATAGCTAGAATAATTATGAATAATCAGAAACTTTCTATCTAGATACAAAAAAAAAGATAATTATTTTATATCTTACTTATCATAAAACTATAATTAGGTACTCTTAAAGTAATAGGTAAAAGTTACTAGACTTGGTACACATTTAGATATAATAAAATATTGTGCGGTTTATGTAATTTTATGAATATACCAATTAAGGCAATATTAACCTTATACGATTTTAAATGATTTATTTAGTGGATGATTCATGTATTTATCTTATCTAACAGCTCGGATAAGTAATTATTTCTTATTTATCTAGATAAAATAAATGATAAAATCAATAAACAGTTGAGTCGCGATAACTCGAAAAACTTGACAACTCGATTTTTTTTATTCCCCTAGAAATTCTCATAACACTCAATGTATTAGTCTTGTTAACTCGAATATAAAATTGTGATGAATAGCTTAGTCGAAGAATATTTTATATTAAACGAATATATTTTGTACATTTTCCCGGTTTTCCTCCGTTTTTTTGTGAGGGGGGAGGGTTTTCGCATTTGATAAGAAAACTCTTGAGAAAATCAAGAAATGACTTCCCTAAAGTATCTCTCTATACCGATTTTTTTCTTCTGTATCTATTAAATAATATATATGTACATATATAATACCATTATATCTAATTTGATTTTTGTATAACATTTATGTGCATATATTATCATTACGTTTTTTATTCAATTTTAAAATTTTATTTTTTATTTTTTTTACATTTTTACATAGTTTTGATTTAATTTCGAGTCAGTTATAAATAACTTAGAGTGAATTTTTATCCCCTTTCAGCTTCGAATTATCGTGACTCGACTATACCTATATATCTAGATAAACATTTCTGATAATCGTGCCAATGTTTGAATACAAATTCCGTTGCGGTTATACCGCATTGAAGGGTTACGGGGAAAGACGATCATCTATAATCGATCGATCTTCAAACGATTTTTTCCCAAACGAATTGTTGCACGACGGACAGTCACGAGACAGTCCGAGAGGAAACGGGGAAAAAATGATAAGTGTAAGAATTTCGCGAATGTCGACTGTACTAATAATAATATGACCGTTTTTTTTCCCTGAGAATTTTTTCGCAGCCCTTCGGACGTATTTCGGATATACCGTATTATAATATTATGCAAGCATTACGTACCTATATTATTATACCTAAAGTCGCCGCCGCCGTCGGATAACGCGAAATATAATTTATAATAATTGATATATTATTTCAAAATAATTGTTATTATGGTTTTTTTTGTTTTTAATTTTGAACATTTTTCGCGAAACCGTCAAAAACGCGGCGCTTTAGATAGTAATTCGTGAACATACGTGTTGAACCGACGGTTACAGAAAGACCGTGGTTAGCCTATCGCACTCGTACGCACCGCAACAGACGCATACATGCAAGCACAGAAAATAAAAAACCGTCACTTTCGCGATATGTTTACCGCGGTCGTCGTCGTCGTCGTCGTCGCGCATATAAATGTCCTCGTTTCTCCGCGTCCGTATACACGCGTGACCGTACGTCTGCTCACGAGTCGTATAGTATCGCACACCACGTGTCTAAAAATAACCGTATACCGGATCCCCGGATAGGTGTGCGTACGGATACGGCCGTGCAGGTCTTTGATCGGCCGCCAAGTGGATCGTTCGCCAATAAAACGTCACGTCATCCCCACTTTGAAAATCGGAAAAAATACGACAGAAAATTCGAACAAAAAAAAAAAAAAACGCGCGAAAAATGGCACGAACCGCGGCGCTGCCCTCAAAACGCACACGCACACCTGACAGCGCACACGAATATAAGAAGGTACCTATAATATGTATAGTATAATAATTGAATATTTCTACGTCCGGGCGAGTGTAAACGTGTTTCAGGCTCAGAAAATAACGAACTAACTAGTATACGACGAGTTTTTCAATTGTCGGGAGGAAGGGGAAGGGAGTGAACCCTTAAACCCCTAATTTCCGGATTGTATATACGTGTTTGTCTGTCGACAATCTCTAAAGCAAACGGTAAAAAATATTATTATATGATGCGACACCGATACAATAATGATTCACAGCACGGATCGGTTTATATACGTGACGCATGTAAAACACAATATTGTTTTTTTAAGGTTATTTTAATGTATATTGTATTTATAGTTTGTGGTCTTTGCGCGATATTCTGTAATAATAAACACGTTTACCTGCAATCGTCCACCGCATTTTTCCCTGTGCAACGAGCCGAGTACTGCAGTGATTTTAAGACGGCGGCAGGATGGCTCTCCTTTTGCTCGGCGGTTGTTCGGCTGTAGTAAAAAAAAAAAAAAAAGGACCTTAAGTACATGATATTTATTATTATAATATATTATTATACGCGCGTTAAGAGACGATTCTGCGTGAACATTTGCTCCCCGTGCCAAAACACCTCCCCACTCTCATCCGTCAATATACATTATAATATAATAATAATATGCGTGTGTGCGTAAATATATTATTATATATTTCTTCGATGATTTTTGTTAAAACGTTCAATATTATTAAATGCAAGTATTGTCCGCGTCAACGTGCAACGCTGGACCGACCGCAATACCGGTAAACGATTTTAGCGCAGTTGAGTCGTGCGGCGGTCGTCATAACTACACACTTTCAAAAAAAGTTCGTCGTTCAAAATCGCACATTTTTATATATAGTTTTCCCAAAATGAATCGTTCAACAACGCACACATTTTTTTTTGTGTCTTATCGGACGTGGTGATGCCCAACAAATCGAGGGTTATTTTCGATTAAAATGGCCCGAGTGAGTGCAGAGAGCGAGTTATCACATTGGATCCCTAATTCCACCTATAATGCTTTTCACTGCCAATCGAATTTGTACGGTTTTGAATTATCGTTCTTCCAAATTTCCATTTTTAACTCAACAGACAAAATATGTGCGGTATTTAACGATGTAAAATATGTGGTTATGAACGGTAAGTATGCGGTTTTGAACGATGCCTGAGTCGTGTCCCGGCGCGGTGGAGAGAGAAAAAAATAATAATAATATTACAAATATAGTAAAAGGAAAAATTACAATTACAATTATTTCGCAGATTACGGTAATTTTTTATTACGAGGTCGGCGATTATAAGCAAAACGTAGAATATCTATATGCCTAGTATTATAGGTACCCATATATGGCTACATACTTATACAAAACGTTCCGTCGCGTCGGTTACACTTTGTAGGCCGTATGCCGCAGACACGGTCGGTTGGAAAATTTATATACGTTTAATAAGGAATACTTTATACGTTGTCACTGAGACGTAGCTAGAAGGACATGGGGCTAAAGGGGCTCCATGGTTCCCGTTTATGTATGCATTATATTATTTTTCGGTTTGAGTGTTAGCTACGTTTCTAGCTATTTCTTCCACGTCTGGGAGATCGTTTTCACCACTGAATCGTATTAGCACGATTTAAAAGGAAAGATATGCTAGAAAATAATAGACTTGATTGGTTAGCCATGGCTAATATAAATAAAAACTAAGATGTTAATGAAAATGATATAACCACTGCTTTTGTTGGAAATTCTCCTAGGAAAATGCACGCACGGGTATTGCGTAAAGTGACTAATAAATATCTCATGAAATTCTTTAATGTCAAATACGTATATATCTCCAAAGCAAATTAATTAGTGCTATTTTCAAATTAAGAATATATAAAAAATATTTTCGAATACACTTGGTATTCATAAAAAAAAGCAAACATACTTCACACATAGGTGTAGCCACTATTATAGGTGGTAAATTGTGAAGGTAGGATACAGACGGGAATTTTATGTATATCTGTAAGTAACGATAAACCATTACTAAAGAAAATAACGATTCTGAGCATAGTTCAGTTGATAGTGTTGCTTTGCCAACAGTATATCAATATGGTATATTTCATAATATGGTAAAATGTTTACATCAATGATGGTTGTTTGAAAAAGATTAAAAATAATAAAAACTTAATAATTGTAAAAAATAAATAAAAATGGTTTCCGATGACAACTTTATTTTTAATCTTTCAATCTGTTTTAACCTAAAGACTCAGGTTTTCCTCATTATCCCGAATATTAATGAAAATTTCAAAAAATGACCTTTTTAAAGTACCACCAAGAGAGGTTTGGTCCTCCAGAGAACATTTCCTTTCAGAAAAGGTGCTATACTTGATAATTGGAGTAAGCTTTCTGGTAGAAAAAGTGTTCATATTAAAATAGTAAACATTTTTGTAAAACCAATACATTCTTAGTCAAACTCAGAGTCTAAAAGGAACGAATTCCATTTTTAAGGAACGCGGAAGGGGAACGAGTTTCATTTTTGTAGTAGGGACAGGAACGAATTCCATTTTAAAAGAAACGCTGTCAACACTGATTACTAGGGCCCGGATTTCAATGCAAAATGTATCTTTTTTTGAGTGATACTGGACAATGCTTTTCAATTATATAATTTTATTCATATCACAGAAACTTCAAAGGTGAAACTTTTATTTTGCCTTTTTTAAAATTTGTTTGCATTTTTCAACGGTTTTTCATTTTTAGAAATAATAATAAAATAATAAATTTAACGAATTTACATGTAATTTATTAAGGGCATTATTAGCTTTTTTTTAGATAATTTTTAATGATTTTTAGCGCATTTTCTGATATCATTCCAATGCATATTAATGAAAACAAGTTTCTAAATGTGTTGGGGAGTCACATCTTATCTTCGTCCATCTCTCAAGCAAAAACTTGTTTAGCATATTTTTCTTTAAGAAGAGCGCTTAAAATGTTAGCGCTATGCGCTGATTTTGCTAGACACGAAACTATGTAACCATTATAATTTATTTGTTTATTTATTTATTAAAAATACTAGCAGAAGCCTAAAGTTATAATAATACAATAAAATAAACTTTTTAGTACACTTTATAATAAATTAAATAATATATTTTTAGCAAAAGTTGGTTGAAAATACTAGGTAGACATAGTTAACAATAACAAGTAAAATATGTAAAATAAATTAAAAACATAATAATAATAATGTAGCTGGACTAATTCATCCAAAATAATGGGTCCTCATTGGTAATCTTCATCATCCTAACAAGGGTTCATGGCATAGTGAATGGTGCATATAATAATAAGAAGAGGAGAGTAAGTAATAATAATAATAATAAGTACATCCTACTATAAATCGTATCACATAATCATATCATAAACAACATTCAGAAAGTATACTTTGTTTTGTTTAACTTCGTGATTTTAACGTTTAATGATTTTAAAATATCATTAAGTTATTGAGGTAGACAAATAGTATCTATGTAATTTATAATTTGGACGACGACGGGTCGGATTCACGTCAAGGACATCCGAATTTCGACTTCAGTATCCCGGACTCTCGTGATTATGATAATAGTGGTTATTATAGTAAGTATAGAATATAATATTATATACGTCCCAGAAAGTCCCTACATTTTTTTATATGGTAAAAACCTATAGAGTTTGGAAAAAAAACATCAACCGTACATAATATAAGATATTATAGTAAGTTATGGCAGTACATATAATATAACTTCGCCGGCGATATTATAAGTACACGAAGGCATCATTAAAACTGCCTTGGCGGGTACAATGCGTACTGGGCACGGCATGTATACCCATTACCATTGTTTATATATGTATAGGGTGTCCTACAGTGATATCCTTATACTAATAATTCCGTCAATATTCAATTTTTTTTTCAATTGGGTTTTGTGCAACGGGGACACATGTGGAGAGAAAAATTAAATTTTTATTTTATCACTTTTCAACATTTTCAATAGAATAACACGTCATGCGATAAGAAATCACAATCAGCACGGTAATTCCATATCTTTTATTGAATATTAACTGTTTTCAGGCCTATTTTATGTACATTAAGACCACTATAACTAAGAAACTATAAATCGAATTTGAATGTACGATAAATCAAAGTTTTCAGAATAATATATTTTACAAAATGGCTATTTTGAAAATTTTAAAAAATGTAAAAATAAAAAGTTATTTTTTTCAGTGATTAAGGAATGAAAATATAAATTTTATTTTTTTTTACATATATGTATCCCTCACAGAAAGCCCGATAGAAAAAAAAATGTAAAAACAAATTATATTGACAAGAGTTAATCGTAGAAGGTTAACACTGTAGGACACCCTGTATATTTATATACATATATTTAATCAATGCTATAACACAGTTCAATAATATATTATTTCCGTTATTAAATGTTATGACGTATAATATTATAAAGAGTGGTACGTGGCGGTAGAGGTGCAAGCGGTAGCTAAAGAAACGGAATGATAAAAATATGATAAAAACTCAAAATATTAGAAAATTGCTCGATCGATAATATTCTATTTTATTTATTTCTTGAAATTACAAATTATTAAAATGTTCAAAAAGTACCGATACTTCTGAAAGTCGTATCACTGTTGTAGGTGAGAAGTTGAAGTTCGAAAGGTAGATAAACAATAATAGTTATTTAATTAATAGTATCCAAGCAGAGGAGCATAGCGGATTTCCCTTCATCATCAAAAACCTAAAACCTACCCTATAGGCGATATAGAAGTCCTTAATAAAATTCAAATACGCCCTATCAAAATCTAGGAAACACATTTGAATAAAATAGCGTATTTTTTTTTTAGTTAGTTAATGTGCTGGTGCTGATGCAAAAATTGTAAACCTCTCCCGGAAGCGATAGGGGCCGTAGCATATTTAAAAAACTACCTAGCCAAATCTATCAAATTTATCTGAATCAATTGGTACATTTTTTTTTATGTTATCAAACAATGTGTTGTTGCTGACACCAAATTTGAAACCTCTCCCGGAGACGATGATGATTCTAGCAAATCCAAAAATGCCCTAACAAAATTCCCCTGACAAATTCATTTGAATGAATTGGCTTTTTTTTTTGAATCAGACAATGTGTCGGTGCAGCTATAAAGATATTATCACTGGTATGTTGGTTTGTAGATTTCTGAAGTTTAGGAGCCCTAGACAAATTCGAATACTAGTTATAATGTCCTAGTATAATGTGCTGGTGCCAACTTGAGTACTTGACAGACATTGCACAGGGTCTTGAAAATTGTCTAGCCATTTCTATTAACAGACATATTAATATAAAAATATACCAATATAATATATTAATATTGGAAATTTGCGTTTAAAAATATAGATTAATTGAATAATTAATAGGTGGGTGGCCCCTGGTTATTTAACCACTACCCGACGAAACTCGTAAGTCCATCCGAATTCAACCGCAGGCACCAGACACGTCGCGAGTCCGCGGCCGGCACCGGGACTTCCGTTCGGCGCCGAGCAGGGTCGACAATGGGGCTCCGAAGACCACCCAGACTACTTTACATAGATTTCAAAAGTCGGACATTTTTCGACACCCAACCACCGACGGAATAGACGATTAGTTTAAACCGGAGGTAGTCAGACGTCTCCCGACACGCGCGTGATAACATAATCTCCGTTACCAGAGATAAGTGGGCCGTGTGGAAACATCCTACGGTGCGGCCCAACGGTCGGAGTGCGAGAAGACCCCCGAACGACCACACGGAGAGGCGAGTCCGTAGTCTCGATCTCTCGCAGGAAACAACCTCGGTGGAGTAGTAACGACACTCACCCGTCCAGCGAGAATTTACGCATATTCGTTTCACATCGCGAAAAATCCGCGACGCTACTGGTATCTATCATCACGAAAAAACCTGTGCAATCTAACAAGCCCGTGGAATAAAGAAGCTCTCCCGGGCCCTTTAGGAAACCACAGGGAACCGACCAAGAAATCAATTCCAACCCCTTGACCGTGGTTTCGCTAGATTTGAGAGAGGCCAGTGTACAATTTTAAAATGATTATTGTTTTATATATTTATTCGAATAAAATTATATTTATATCAAAATAGAGGTCTCAAAATAATGAGAACAAATTATAGGTTAGCTGACCCCACAACCCCTACACCCTTCCACGGTTGGATAATTATAAATGATAACATAAAATAAAAACTATAAAAATGATAAACCTATGAACCTAAATGAGTACCAATTAAATTATTATATGCCTTTTTAGTTACTATGTATAAATTAAAAAATATTACCAGTATATTTATGGTTTGGCCGTATAAATGTCTGGTTTTTATTTACGTTTGTTCTGGTTCAATCCAATTATTACGAAAACTACATGTAAAGTCAAAAAAATCGAAAGAAGGACTAGTTAACACCAAATAAATCTAAATTGTTACAAAAAAAGATATTTTGTCATTTTTCAATTGGGGCAAGATTTTTGGTATACAAGTTGTTTATAGACATAATATATAAAAAAATTCGCTCAGAATCTAAAATGTTTAACCGATTTTTGGTCAAAAAATATAAATATATAAATATTAACTATATAAATCAAATAATTATCTTACCAGATAAAAGATAAATAATTGAAAAATGTACCTAGAGAGAACGTTTGAAATACATTTCTTTGTCCTGGTGGTATAATTAAAGCATTACAAGCAGTCGTGACGATAGTTATTACTTTATTAAGTTGTTCTTGTAAGTTATACTGCACTATATAATAATAATTACAAAAGTTTATACACGTGCGCATACGAAGCGATTGGGAAAGTTGATTATATATAGACATCTTTATGCTTGTGTTGGCTTTTCCACCGTTTATTTATTCATCGTCCGTATATTTTATTAATTGGACGACGACTACGACGTAGACGGTGTTTACCATTAGCAATTTTCGTATAATATTATGAACGAATTATTATTCACCTACATTATTCAAATATTCAAAACTTTTTTTTTTTTCACTATCAGCACACGACCGCAATTTTTCACCGTATACTAACCAAGGCGGGTCGTTTTAAATTTACTGTCGGATCTCGTTCACAATATTATATAGTGAACAGTGATTGGATAACGACCAATAAACGCAATAGTTAAACCTGATACACGCGGTGATATAGTTGCTGTTGCGATATAGTCCTAAAGAATAAAATTCACTACTGTGATATAACTATCACGAATATTATCGCTGCGTGAACGTAGCAACAGAAACCATTGAACTATCGTAAATGGATAATAGTCTATGAAGAAAGCTAAAAACACACCCTCTTTTTACAAAAATATGGGTAAATACATATTGAAATTTAAACCAAATTTTACCACTTCAATTTGCCTAAACAACAACTCATATTCTCGAGTTTGAAATCATTTAGTTTAATGAAAGCTACTAGAAATGTCCAAAAGTAACGGAAATAAAGATATAAAAACAAAATAAAATATTGAACTAACTGAAAAACAAGGTATAGATAGTACCTACGTACCAGTAGGTAAATACTAGTGGGTAATACACTATAGACTATTCAACTATTGTACTATATTTTGTCTATTATTATGTAAAAATATAATACATATATATAACAATAATAGACAAAATATAGTACAATAGTTGAATAGTCTCTAATTTTGGGAAAATTTGACATAGTATGTAGGTACTATCTATACCTTGTTTTTAAGTTAGTTCAATATTTAATTTTTTAATTTTTAAATATTCGAACGTGATAATAATATGCTAACGATAATATCAAGTGATGAACTGATTATTAGTGCCAAAACCATGGTTATCATTTATGAAGATTGATTATTTTATTTTAGATAACCGTGATGCAAAAATGATTTTGTTTATTCTTCAACGGAGGTTTCGCTTATTGATTAAACATATGTATAGGTATTTAATAATTTTTACTGAACAAATTCTAGCTTAATTAGATTGGACATTTTATATACCTTAAGAAGGCAATATGTAATTTAATTATATTGATTTTTTTTTCATAAAAGCTTAATATTTTGAGTTTAACATTTTGAGTGACTTGCTAAGCTAAGTTAACAGTGATAGTACCTAATTACCTGTATCGCTACTATGGAAAAAATACTGGGTATCGTTCTATTTTCACATACATTTCTATCGAAATTGGAACGATTACAGTTATAACAAACATGATAAGAGTTATAACATATTGACTACAATTTCGTTGAGTCGTGAATTCTTATCATTGACTGTCACATTTTTAAACGTTTGATTTTAGTGACGCCTTTCTTATCGCAATTGAGATAACTGTACACCGCTCTTGAAATTCACTGTACTATTATCACCAGTGGGCAGAGGTGCAACCAGAAGGATTGGTGATATTACCTTCCCCCTTCCAAAATTTGTGACTTTTTCACTACACGAATTCTACGTAATGTACCTACGCATAGTTGCACGATTTAGAATTTGTATTGCAACCACAAGCATTTCCTTGTTATTGTCAATATGTATATACGTATCGCACCTATTTAGTAATTTATTTTCTAAAAACTCCGTCTAGAAACTTATTGGACATTCATATCCCCCCTCCTCCCAAAAATGAATCTTAGTTATGACAATGCGCGTGAACGCTGTCTTTGGCATTAATTATAACTAAACCATCAATCGTGTAATATATCGTGGCAGCTGTAACTATCACGATAGTGACCATCATCGCGTGAATCAAGCGACAGTTGAATGCAATAGTTATATATTATCAGTGATGGTTATAACTGACTTTAAAAGGGAGGGGGCCGAAAGTGACCAACAAAAAATCATAGAGCAATAATGTTGGATATCTTTCCTTAATATTTTAAAATTCAATTCACTATCATTACCATGATTATAATACTCATTGAATAAACAAAATAAACAAAAACCGGACCATGTGGATAGGTGGTTTGCCCCCCTCCTCTTATAACCGCCACTATATACTACATCGCATCGCTGCAACGTCATCATGAAAACATAAAAACTTCGAATCGACATTATGAATTCAAACGCAAGCAAGAATAAGTCCACGTCGAAAACCACGCACTACTGTTGAAGGGTGTTCGCCGCCGGCGTATTATACCAATACGATAGTATTAAACTCTCCCGAACCATGTACGCGATACTCGCGCGGAGTTACCTTTCTCTTTGTCGATTCGTTTTTTTATTATATTACTTCGCGGGCGACTATTGTGGTACCTGGGTATACCGAGAGGGCGTACAGTGTCGGCCGCGCGAACAGACTCTCGTCTGGACGGAACGCGGACTCGACGGCGGCGGACTGCTGCGGGCGTCCTTCGGTAACGGACGGCGAGCACTACAATAGCTGCGGCTGCGGCTGCGGGTCTACTACGGTTTTCGTCTCCATCGTCCGCCGGCGTCACGGCACTAAAAAACAGCAACAAAAAAAAAAAAAAAAAAAAACGCCGAAAAAAAAAAAAACCCGCATACACCGTATTATACCTAAATTAATGGTATCGGAGAATAACGACGTGGAGCGCGTGTGTGGTGACGGAATCCGGCGACGATCACGGTAAACACTGACTGACTGCGGTCCACCACCGGCGACAATAATAATAATAATAATAATATTATTATAATGCAATATACGGATATGAAAATATGATTATTATTATTGTTGTTGTCGTTATATTTTAATATATTACCGTATAAACTGTCGTCGCGCACACCCGGTAATACGACGTTATTGTGAACGCAATATTGCTGGCGACGACGTGTTTTTTCTCTTCCGTATAGATACCTACGTGACGGTAATTTTTTTCTATTAGCCCCGTGCAGCAGCCGGAAACTTGGGCGACTCATCCGCGGTGCGGGCACCGTATACACACCTACCGTTCACATTTTACTGTATTCATTTTTTATTTAATCCGTCCTAATAGGTAATTACGACGAGAGCGTGCGCGCGCGTCACTCGCCGCGATCCTTTTGCCACGGGCCCGATAGCCGTCTCTCACTCTCTCTCTCTCTCTCTCTCACTCTCACTCTCTCTCTCTGTCTTTCCTCTATAGTGCGCGTTAAGCTATTATCGTATTCTGTTCAATTATATATTATACAGAGTTGTCTATTTGTTTGTGTTTTTCATCGTTGAAGATTTCGCAGGTAACCCTGCAGCGGCGCGCCGAAATAGGGTTTGTTTTTTTTCTTTTTTTTTTCTAGACGATCGCCTCACGATTTAAACGCGGGCGGTCGACCGAACGTATCGATTATCGATTAATAATAACTAGTACCATGGGTCAGAGATGCCCATAGGTTTGCGTATTACATTTGCAATACGTGCATACGAATACGATCGCTTATTATGACGTGTATACTCAATTTGGCTAAATTTTTGTTGTAAACAAATTATTTTTAGGACATATACAAATTCGCGTTTTGTGCGGCTGGGTCCCAATTTTTTATATTTTTCCCCATCTATGAAAAATGTCCAGCACGCCATTTTCTATACTTTTTTCTAAATATAAATTACGCTATTCCGAAAGTCCACCGGACTATAACAATATTTCGGTACGCGTATCATTATAACGTTGGACATATACTATGTTTAGGTAACTAGTCCCAGGGATTAACGTGGTGCAGAACGGCAAAAGGGTACTGTGATTCCTTAACTTTTCTGAGCGTTTCGTGCTGTGATTTCCCAAACTACGGAGTGTGAATACATTAAAGGGGACTCTTTTCAAGCGCGGTCAGAGGTAAGGGGGATAGAGTCACCTTGCGACCCTTCATTCCTACCTAGTACGCAGATGTAGGTGCCTGCCTAGTGTTCATCGTTTATGAGTTTTACCAGTTTAAAAGTTATCTCGGAGGAGTCATAAAGAAAAGCGTTTGATTCAACAATCAAAATATATGAAATTACAACCTATACAGTACCTAACCTTTCTTCTACTTCTAGAATTGATATATTTACTGATGTTATCAAAACGAAATAATAGTAAAGATTTTAAAATTATTGTAATGAGCGATTATGTAATGACTGAAAAAAAAAAAAAATTCAAAATCAATTTTTCTCAAGATTTTCGTATTAGATAGGTATTATCGCTTGCTGATGATAAAAGAATCATCCTGTATATTATGTTCGAAACGAAGTCGTGTAGATTAATACGGACAATTACGTTCACGGAAGGAACAGTTAATTCTCGGATTTCCTGCGTCTGTCGTTTAAAACCATATAATTAATCGTTGCTGTTGCATTTTAGATTCTGAACAAGGTTTTACTATGATGCAGTGTGGTTTTATTTCTGGCTTTTAACAATATAGTCTATTAAAAATCTTGATCCAATCATCAACTTCAGGAAGTCTAGGTCTCTGCTATTTCGGTACTAAAATATAGGTGATCGATAAAATTATGTGTGATGTACATAGTTAAATGAAAAAAAAAGTACGAATTTATGTAATTATAATTTTAATACAATATTAGATATTCCCCTAATAAATGTAGTAATATCATGTTTATTACACCTATCTACTAATTTCAAAATACGTTTGTCCGTGGTCATAATTTTAATAATATAAATTATAAGTTATTACTACCTATAATATATTATATTATTGCTCGAATTGGGGAAACGCAGGAGAAAAGAGCTCCTCTTCATTTTTTCATTTTTTGAGAGAACTCCTTCAAATTATTTTCATTAGAAAGGAAGGACGGAACGTGTTATTTTGTCAAAATAATATTTAATAATACTGGATCTATACCCTCTGTTAACAGCCATTAAGACAGTTGAAACTTCATCAAGTAAGTGTGAACGAGCTTTTAGTTCTATGTACAATTTAGTGACTACCAAAAGATATGTATTAAGTATTATTAATATTTTTTTTTATGTTTATCAATTGCGTTGGACCCCCAGTACAAACGTTTAAACCCTACTCTTATGTATTGTCTTGGATACGCAAAAGTAAAAGATCAGATGAAAAACAATGTTGTCTTAAAAAGAAAAATACTACCAAAATAAATTACAGTTACCTATAACTGTGGAATGCTATTTAAAACTAATTAGGTACCAAATTAGCTAGAGCTCCTTTTTTATGTAATTATTCATTTGTATATGATAATAAATGACAAGTCTTAAAAAATAAATATTGTAATTGTTGGTACATATTATCCATATATTATTTTGTAATCATTTGATGAAAATTAATGGCTGGAGGGTATACGGGAAAGTGAAGCCCCCCGCGGGTCTAGTTGAATTTAATCATTGTAATTTTTTTAAATCTTGAATGAGTCTCCTTTATTTTATTTTTCTAATTCAGGCATTGATTTATACCTAAACATTGTTTTTTATCTGTTTTTTACTACACGATAATTTTTCTCTTATGCCATAATATTTTTTACATATTATTTCATACCAAAAATAATTTTCACCGTAGCATTTACTATTACCATATCAACAGTAGCGCTGAAAATATATATCGCTGATATGACAGCGCCGAAATGTCCCATTCTTCAACTTCGGGGGTGGTTTCTGAAAATAAATTTTTTATAGTGAGTTTATTTTGAAGAATATGTTTTGATTTTCCCGATAGTTTTCTTAATAATGGAGAAAACCTGGTAAAACAGTAGGCTAGAACTCCCCCCCCCTCCCACCTCAAAATTTCTTTCCCGACTGAGAATTTTTAAGTAAACTGGCGTAAAATGCATAAAACCATCACATCTAGGTACTCTGTTGCTTTGTCAATAATGCAAATAAAACTTTATTTGTTATAATTGCCATACCAGTAAGCAGTGGATCTATATTTAATTTTTGTTTACCTACTTCGGTTTCAACCAAAAGTGATCTTTTATTTTTCCGCCAGTTATAAATTATAGGATTATAGAATTTGGGAATTCCTTCACGTAAATATTTAATACTTTATTTTTCTAAATAATATTATTTTATAGGTACGCACTATATACGTAAACTATACTTATAACTAGGGCTCGGATTTAAATGTATTCAAGAAACAAAAATATGTATTTATGATATCAGAATATGTACATAAATATGTGCTAAAAAACTCAAAATATGTATTTTACTAATATTATCTAATTAATAATATTTAATTATTTATATGGTCTTATGAGTTCCTAATAATACAAATTATGTTTTAAATAACGAAATTAAAAAAAAAAAATTAATTATCTTGAATATAATTTATGACGACATGCACTTTTAATTTTCGAATTCAAAGGATCGACAATTTGGTCGTAAAACTGCCTTATACCGACTAAATGATCTTTCGACTTTGACATTATTATTGGACAATATTGCATTTTGACGAAATCTGAAACAGTAAGTTCTACATTCGATAAAACTTCAGAAGAAACATTAGTCAGAATACTTTTAACAGCTTTCATTTGTGTAAGACCAGAATTTTTTTGTAGAATATTTCTAACTTCGTCATTTATAATTTCGCCCATTTCTCCTTGTACCGATCAAATTGTGTCAAGATAAATTGATAAAATATATAATACTACTATAATAATACAATTAGTAATGTATATTGCTAAAATTGACTAAATATGAAAGAAAAATAAAATAAATTGCAATACGCTGATTACGACGATTCCGAATCCGGAATAACGACGCTAATTAACGTAGAACTATTGATGTTAAACACTATATAACTGTATTTATAATCAATAGTTGAACTAAGATAGTGCGATGTGCTATAAAATCCAAAATATATTTATATTTAAATGTTTTGAAAATTTTTAAATATCCACTTATTGTTTGTCTACGCTACTACGACTACGGTCGACATGATTATCATGTATATTGTATCAATAATTTACGAAAAGTGTTCATTGATCATTGTTTACTTGCACAGTTGTGTCTTGTACGTTTTACCACTCCAGTTTTCAGTTTTTTTATTAGATTCTGAGTAGAGCAAAGAAGTTTATAGTTTTAATGTTTTACAAGGAATAATTTTTTTTTATCTATGAACAACTTTTCTACCAGATATCTTGCTCCAATTTTATAATGTAGCACTTTTTCTGAAAGGAAATTTAACTGGAAAGGTACTTTAAGCAGGTCATTTTTCGATTTTTCCAAAAGTTTTCCCAGTAAATGTAAAAAACCGGGAAAAGACATGGGAAAACCGAAAAAATGAAGTAAAAAACGTGAAAATCGGTACAAAATTAAACATATATTATTTAAAAATGCATATATTATTATACATATATTATTATTTCACCCTTATATAACCTATATATTGTTGAAAAAGCAACCGAACTTCGCTCAGAATCGTTTTTTCGTTAGCGATGATTTATCATTGCTTACAGGTATATATTAAATTACCTATAACATTAGCTACACCAATCCCTATTATCCTAGAACGTCCTTTTTCTTTTGTTACCACATGTAAATTGTAATAATAATTATGGATTCTACATGAATACATATTTGTCCATTAGGAAAAAATATAAGATCCTTAACTTTGCATAATTATAGGCTGCATATTATTATATTAAGTCACGTAAACAACACAAACTGTCTGAAACTAGTGTCAAAATCAGTACCTTTTTTTAAGATGAAATTGTGGAATGTAAGTATGATTTTTATTTACTTATAATTCATTTTTTTATGTGTGTATTAAAATCACTTAGCTCTTATAAATTTTGAAACAAAGTTGTTTGTTTTATAATTTTTTTTATTCAATTTCTAATAATTTTCTTTATACTTAAAAGTAGATTATTTTTTAAAATTAATTTTCTAGTATTTTTTTTTTTGAGGAAATTTCACAATTTTAAGGGAAGGTAATTTATAGAGGTTCTCGTTTTTTGGTTTTCTCCGATGTTTGCTCAACAAATGTGAAAAAATGGGGAAAAACATGGGAAATCAGGGAAAAACGCAAAGAAATTGGGGAATCGGTAAAACATTAAACAAATACTATTAAAGAAAATATATAGAACCTATTAAATTATTTTACTATAATATGGCATATTTATTGTTGACAAAGCATTACCATCAACCGAACTTCGCTCAGAATAGTTTTTTTATAAGCAATAGTTTATCGTAGACACTTTATTTTTCATTTTTTGTATGTGATTTTTATTCAGTAGATACTCTGTGGTAAAATTGTTAGATTTAATAGTTATGCTTGAAACTGTAATAGGACATTCATTAAGTCTTACTTTGTGGTAAAAAAAAAAAAAAAAAATAAAATAAAATAAGTTTAACATAGTATTTTTTTTATAAAAGATTTAATATATTTAATACCAAATTTTGATAAAAATCGTTTAAGTAAAAATGTATGTGGAACAAATCTAAGTTTTCAATTTTAGTTTCTGAATGAAGAATGAGCTTCATATATAGTTTTACAAAGATCTATATTTTTTTTTTCTGTGGACAACTTTTTTACCAGAGCACTCGCTCCGACTTTCACATGTAGCAACTTTTCTGAAAGGGAATCGGTGAGGGGAGATACTTTAGGGAGGTCATTTTTCAATTTTTTAAGAGTTTTTCCAACAAATGTGAAAAATCGGGAAAAAACATGTAAAAACTGGGAAAAACGCAGGAAAACGGGAAATCGGTACAATATAAGTGAATATTATTAAAGAAAATACATAATGCCTATTTAATTATTTTAACATAATATTGTTGACAAAGCATTCAACTGAACTGTGCTCAGAATCGTTTTTCGTAAGCAATGTTTTATCGTTGTTTACAGGTTTACACATTGAATTCCCCGCTATATTGTACTTTCCCAACTTCTCCCCTTTAACAGTGACCCACTCATCGTGCGAAGTATGTCCGTCTTTTTAATTTTATTGGTTTTGATTCGTATTTATTTAACTAAAATTAATAGTTTTTAGTTGTATATGTTAGTATTTAGTGTTTAATATTATTAGCCAGATAAGAAATATAATAACCTCTATAAACTTAGGCTTTTGGAGACAACCATTTACATTATATTTTGTTTTAACTTGTACATATTATGTTTTTCTTCTAAATGCAACAAATCATTATTATTATTATAATTATTAAAAATATACTTTTTTTTTTTAATATTTGTATATATATCTGGTTTTGGTCAATTCATGATGTATTTAGACACTTGATTAGCCAACTTTTGCTTATTCTATGAATTGAGCAACCCACTTAGCCATTTCAAGACTTGGACAAGTTCACCTATATATTCACTTACATATGGTGGGTTTTTACACTAATGCCTTTATCAACGTAGACAAGAGGTAAATAAATTCAACGTGTTGGAGCCCATCGGTTCCTAAATTTTTACGATCATGGTACCCTTAGGAGAAAGTTTGTGTTTCGTGGAACTCCAAGTTCAACCCTCTAATTCTAACTGAACTAATTTTTCAATTATTTATAAAAAAAATCAGTACTCCAAAAAAATGTTTAAAAGATATTGTTCATGATTATAATTTATTACACTCAGTTAAAAAAAAAAATGTTCATAAAAATTGTATTTATTAAAATAACAAATGTTTATTATTTAATTATTAAAACAAATTTATTTCTAACAAAATATAATTAATTAGATTATATAATATACATTTATTTTTAATGTGAAAGATGGAATTTTTTTATGGTTCGACTTAAAATAGTTTTAATATTCTTATACTTGGGTCTTATATCTGAAAGTTGAATTTGTAAGTCTGGAGCAGCATCTAATCTATGTCTGTACTTATATGGTATTTAGTACAAACATAAGAGAAAAACCAGTCTAACAATGGTAGGTTATTAAAAACGGTAGAGTTAGAATAGCTTTTTCATCTTGAGATGGGTATTCGTCCTTAAGTCCAATCCAAAACTCGTTTAAAGATCCGGATTCAAATGTATGTTTTAAGGACAATATATAATTAATTTCAATAAGGTTTTCATATTCGAACACGGATCACCTAGCAGGGTTTTTTTATTCACAAAAGGTAATATCCAAGCAAAGGTTATAATCAATTTCATTATAATTATCCGGAAAGTACTAAAATAATGATTTGTCGACGTTTCCCAAATGTTCGATAATGTTTTTTCTTATGTTTTCTGCTTTTATTTTTTTCCAAATATAATGTAAAACCAATGTTCTCAATGTTCATATACAATATCGTGCGGAACCCTTGAGATAGTTCCACAGAACCCTTAAGTTCCACGGAATACACTTTAAGAATCGCTGATATAGTGATACCAGTGAGCACCGACTAGTGCGTGATGTGCATTAACTGAGATGAGCTACAGACATGTTCGCAAAAATAATTAGGTAATACTAAACATGACGATCTATAAGTTATAATTAATAATTTTAAATTGAGCAATGCATATGATGGCATAAATAATGTACGTCGGGTGTGTATTAATAAATTGTGTAACGCAAAAGTATTCGCAAAAATGAATTTCTATAGCGAAATATTGAACGTGTTGTTGTAGCAGTCGTATTTGTAGGCGTACAATTATTAAAAGAACGGTAGGCCGTAGGTATAACATTACAATTAATTTGAACGACAATAATAATAAATTTTCCCCCTAAGAAATGTAGGTACTATTTGCATATAGTAGATACCCAGCATAATGGAACGCTATAACGCTGGCGCAATAATGTTCCATTTTCATTTTGAAAACAGAAACGCATCAGATCGATTACTGCAAAGTTTGTATATTGGTAGTTGACTCGACTCGAACAATGTTCGCGATTTTTACATATGCCTAATTTAAAATAATATTGTTTTAAAAATTAGACGAAATAATTTCGTTATAATCAACGTCAAACTAAATAACTTGTCGACGAATCGAGTTGTCGGCAAATTGGTACGAAACGGTGATTTTTGGCGGAAACCGGCGACGCCCATTTCAATTATTCATTTTGATGTTAGTGTAATTATTGCAATGATTGATTATCAATAATAGGAACTAGCTATCTATATATACTGATTATTTACAATTTGTTTTTATCAGTGTCATTAAAGTTCAAATTCATTTTAAAACACAAACAATTGTAATTTATTTTGTAGTTACAAACTAATATGATACTTTTAATTTAAAATTATCAAAATAATAATATGTTTTATCAAATTCACTCAGAATCGGTTTAAGTTTGCAATGATTTAATTGTTGAGTACAAATATAAATTAAATAACTCTATTTAAGATAAGATTTTAATACGGACGTAATGAAAAAGGAATTTCGGTACTATACTAGTGCCTTCAGGCGGAGTAGAGTTTAAATTATACATTTGCCAGAAACGAGTCGGTAGATAGCACCACAAAATACGTTTTTTACGACTTGACTGAAATTTAATGAGCATAAGAAACTGAAAATGTTATATTTTTTCTCGTTTAATTTAATACCATATTATAATTTTAAGTTAAACGGTGGACGTGGAGATCCTAAGCAATTGTTTTTCAAAACCATTTTAGAAAAATAAGAACCATAGCTAGGCAATAATCTTGAAATGATTAAGTGAGCG